TTTATTTATGATATATCTTCGTATATTTTTTAAGTGAATATTTTTGCTTTATTTAATTTTCTATTTTGCTATGGGATATATGTACATATCTCTATGATACAGTAATATGAAACTATAGATACTTTAGAGGTAAATATAGGCAGCAGTTAAAATAAATAATTATAATACATAAAAAGTAATATAATATATATAAATCTGTAGCTAGTGCTTTATGTGTGTATATTTTATATTATCATTTCTTACTTGTGATGAGTGTTTCAACTATTTATACAGTTCGCACTGTGCATATACATTTGTCGCATTGCAGATAATATGTATTTGTATATTGTGAAATAGAAAACCAGAAAGAAAGCAAGAAATATTGAAATAAGAAAATATATAAAGGCACATAATAGATAAATATAATTATTACTGTTCTAATCAAGTTGAAATTTTGAGAGGATATATGTGATTTTGTCTCTAGAATAAGCATATGTTTTTGTATTATGTGTAATAGTATAAACAACACATTATATACAAATAAATATAGGCAAATTAATCTGTTTTTATATTAAAATATTTTTACTATATTGTTTCAGAGAATATTACTAAACATTTTGGCAAGGAGGATTCTACGTATAATATCTTGAGTAATACGTACATACTTTTGATATATGTATATATTAGCATTTCATTAATAGGTAAGCATTCTTATGTATGTAGGATTTATTTCCTCTCATCTTTAATTAATAATTATTGAATTATTTGAATTATATATTACATTTACAGATATAACTAAAAAATATGTAATTTATTTTAAAAAATTTGTATTTGTACTGACAAGCTTAAACTTAAATGTATAATATGTCTAATATATTAAAAGGTAAAATATCTGTTTCAAAACGTCATATTAGGAGAATTATTGAAGATCAAACTAATATTGATCTAGCAGGATTATCTACACAAATCATTAATTTATTTTTTTTTATGTAAGTATATGAATTTTAATATTATTTTATTTTTACAGATCCTTAACAGAAAAGGAAAATCAGCCTCGTTAAGTTTATAATATTTATAATGCTCTTTCTAAGTTTTTTTTATGTTCAATGATTTACTTTATTTGTTTTAACATAATTCCTTATCTTTATTTTTAAGTTCTCTAACTGAAAACAAACTATGTTTTAAGGCTCAAATGTTATGTTTGGAATTATATAGTTTATGGTTCAAACTCTACGTCGTTACTATCTTTAAGTTTCTTTATAGCTAGTGGGCAATTAATGCTAGCCCATACGCCAAATTTAAAATTATCTTTAAGTTTCGATTAATCGATTGTGATTATATTTATGATTATATAATCAACTGTGATTAATATTTATTTGTGATTATATATAATCGACTGTGATTATATTTATTTGTGATTACATTGCAATAAACAAAAATATAGATAACATTTAACTACAACGTATTTTCATTAATGATTTATTTACATTTATATACCTGTATATGCAACATTAGTTTATGGTTGCAATAACAATGCATTATTGCAAACTCATAACATTGCAATATTGTTGTAATATTTTGTTGCAATCTTCCAAAAAGCGGACATTTTAACATTGCTGCAATTCAACAGCAATGATGTAGCAACATTTTGCAGTGAATTTGCAATATTGCAATATTGCAGTGAAAGATTGTTGTAATGTTTTTGCAATCTATCGGTGCTGTATGGGTTATGATGTCATCTATTATTGTTAATATATATATTTATTGTATATTTCATAAAATATCAATATGTTTCACTATATACTATAAACGCACAACTGCAATTATATATTTCTGACAAAATAAGCAACATATTTTTGCAATTTTTATAGCATTAGATGATGATCCTATCACTTGCTGATAATACTCATGTCATATATAGGACGCATCTTTCAATATGTTTATGCAAGCATTTTCAATTTTAAAATTTTGTCATTATGCAGGCAATCTGCTGAAATATATGTCTATCTGGAGGATAATAAAACTGTTGCTTTATGTTTATATTGTAACAGAATACTCGCAAATACATCAAAAACTCCCATACAGCACCGATAGATTGCAAAAACATTACAACAATCTTTTACCGCAATATTGCAAATTCACTGCAAAATGTTGCTACATCATTGCTGTTGAATTGCAGCAATGTTAAAATGTCCGCTTTTTGGAAGATTGCAACAAAATATTACAACAATATTGCAATGTTATGAATTTGCAATAATGCATTGTTATTGCAACCATAATCTAATGTTGCATATACAGGTATATACATGTAAATAAATATCATTAATAAAAATACGTTGTAGTTAATTTATATATATTACAATATATAAATTATAGAATTTGGATTACATGCAATATTTCCGAAATATTAATGTCATGTTGCTACAAGTGTGCTGGAATTTTGTGCACCTATATTTCTGCAATGTCTTTATAATGTTGCATTGCAACTTGCAACATTGCAACGTTGCTGCAATATAATTGCAATAATCTGTGCTGTATGGGCTAGATTTTAATCAATCACAGGTTAGATAATTATTTTGTAACTAAAAATAAATTAGATTATTTTTTACAACGAAAATTGCTTTATATAGAATTTATGTCATGAAATACCGAATGATGAGATAAATTCGTTCGGAAAAACGCTGATAAATACGCTTAAAGCGCTAAAAGAATGATTCTTGAACGTATACCTTATGCACGTTCAACCCTGATCGAACGTATCGAGATATACCGAACGACCGTACCGAGCGAGTATCACGCACTGTTATTAGTTCTCTTCGCACAGATGGCGTTTCGAGTACGTTTACTTAAATTGCACGAAGCGAGTATATATTTTGTAAATAATTTATATGTATAATATTAAACATGAATAATAGTGCAATGTTTTTTTAACACACACACACACACACACACACGCACGCACGCACGCACGTACGCACGCACGCACACGCATATATGTAATCCAGTTGGCTATTAATAAAAAACAATTGCATAATATTTTTATCAATAATTCAATTCTTTTAGTAAAATAGATGTGCAACTGTCTTTTTATTATTAATTTTTATTAGTGCTGTCAATATGTTTTAGTTAGGGTTTCTTAAACAGAGGATGTTCCATTTCCAAAATCGACTGAAATATCTCTTGAAGAATATAGTTTAGAATAAATGATTAGATAAATTATAATTATTAAATACATTAAAAGTATTTTAAAATGTACATTTTTTAAATAAAAATTAAATTAATAATAAATAGTAATAAAAGTTTTATAAAAAATTAATGTTTCTACTCAACTAATATTGTGTTTATATATTTAAATCTGTATTATTATTATTTTTATATTTTTAATATTTTATATTTTAATATTTGAGTAAACGATACTCAATTATCTCCGAATAATCTCAGAACGTTTAAGTGACAAATGAGATGATCCGCAGATATCTCCGGCCAGAGAGAAAGATGAGAGCGGCCAGGCCGGCGTTTTGGCTGTTACCGTTTTTACGGGACTGCTTGAAGCGCCCCTCGCACCCGTTTTTAATATCGGAACTAACTGCACACCCATTTTCTGGCAGGGTCGATAAAGTTTGTATTTGGTGCGAGTCCGTGCTACGCCCATAATTTTCGTGTTAACACAGTATCACGTATTCATTCTGTATATGTGCGATCTTTTCTCTTTATATATATATATATATATATATATATATATATATATATATATGTATTTATATAATTTGTATAAAAACTAAAATATAATTATTAAAAATATATATATATGTATATGTGTAATGAAATATATAAATCTTATTTTATTAAAATAAAAAGAACGATTAATTGTTCGACCACCTGGATTTTGGAATGTAATTTTTAATATATATTATATTATATTTAATATTTATCGCCGCTTCTATTAATATGAAGTGCAATGTCAACGTGCAATAATGTACAATTATTTAAAGTTTCCATGCCTAATGTATCATGCCGGTATAAAAGAACGTCAAGTAGCATGCGTAGCCGAGCAACTAAGATGACGAGCTGAAATCGTGGACATTTCAAGTTCAAACCCCTGCCTTTTTCAGATTTTTTTTTCACTTTTTTCAAATAAGTTATTATGTGTATAAATGTGTAATAATCAATATATCATTATTTTATAATTTTTTTTGTAATGGAACAAAATAAATTATTTTTTAATTCTGCAAGGAATTTAATTATTATGCAAACGCCCACACACATAATTTAGATATTCAATTTTTTTTAGTTCAAATGTTTCTTGCAATCTGTATACGACAATCAGTCCACTCGCTGTGCCACAGATTGCATCGCATAATACGCTCAGAGTTATAATACGATAGAGATCGCTTTACGCTGTTTTTCCTTGAAATAAATAAATTTTACGTGTTGTGTACGCGTGTTTAGTATATTTGTTTCTTTCATATTAATTTTAACTATAATTAGTTTTTTAATTAAGATTATTTTAGTGTTAGTTGTTTATTTGTTAGTGTCCTGTTTTCTTTAATTTCGCATTTTTTAATTTTCTTTTTTTTTGGTGTTGGTGCTAATTATTATTTTTATTTTACAATGTCGAGTAAACACCGGTTTTACGATAAATGTGTGTATTTAAATTGCACAAATATTAGGACAAAAGATGGAAAACGTTTATTTCGATTTCCATTACAAACGGGTGCGAGACATGATTTATGGTTACGCAATAGTGGTGAGTTTATAAAATTGATTTACTTATTTATATCAATATATAATATATATTGATATGATATATGAAACAAATATATATATATATTCTTTGTTTTTTTTAATAAAATATGTCAGATATTATGTATGTTTACGTATGGATTACGTTGAAGTGTTTCTTTGCCGCGTTTTTCTGATCTCGCCGAACGGTTCGCGAATCCTGTGCGAATAAAAAACGATGCGCGTGTGTGTGTGCGTGCGATTGTGATGATCAGTTTCAGTTCGTCTTCAACGCTTGACGAGAGAAGAGGTCCCGAACTGCTGTAAGTTTATAAAAACATATTTTTGTATAACACATTAGAACGATTTTATATTATTTTTTTTGTCTAGAAAACGTTATATTAATAACCGTTATGAAAACGATCTCGACGACGGCGACGATGCCGGTGACGTTTGATTGGTTTGGCAAGTGCATGATTACGCATGCTCCAAACGAAAGTTCGTTCACGAAACGTTCGCTCGCCGTTCATGTGCTGCCCAGCAAACACAGTATATAAATGTTATATACTCAAGCATGTTACATGTAACGTATATGTTAGTTGTAATTTCCCACTCATAGATGTAACATTTTTAATATTATACATATATTACATTGTATAGTTATATTGTCATTATATCCCAAGATAGCACTGCGACTTATCAATACATCAATGTGCTATTTGGTATATAATTACAATATAACTACAATGTAATATATGTTATATTAAAATGTTATATTTATGAGTGGGAAATTACAACTAACATGGATGTTACATGTAACCCACACGTTATATTACCTGTTATATTCCGTTTTATTATAGCAATGTAACATAATTATATATCGGTGTTTGCTGGGTGGTTTCGACCAATATCTCATTTTTGTTATTAGTACAGCTGTTTTGTTTATATATTTTGGTGGCGCGGGATAACCGCGTATACCCTTGCGGCCGAGCGCTATTTGATTATAATATACTTCTATATAATATATTTCTATAATATGCAGCATGATAATATGATGCATGAATTTTGCATGAATTGTCTAATGCTTTTACTTACAGGTTTTAAACGTTCGATTTTTGAACAAATATAATATCATATTAATTGTGAACACAATAAATAAAACATTCTCTTACAAAATATGATTATAAAAAATCGAATTATTTCTACATATATATCACAGATATGTTAAATATTTGTATTATTTGCATTAAACATGCATTTGCATAAAAATCGGTGAGGTGAGACAAAGCCAGAGCGATGATCGTTGGTCCTTGTCTGACTCAGCTGTTCTATTCTCAACTTTCCAGCAAACACATACAGTATATAAATGTTATATACTTAAGCATGTTACATGTAACGTATATGTTATTAGTTGTAATTTCCCACTCATAGATGTAACATTTTTAATATTACATATATTACATTGTAGTTATATTGCCATTATATCCCAAGATAGCACTGACTTATCAATATACATCAATGTGCTATTTGGTATATAATTACAATATAACTACAATCCCATACAGCACCGAAAGATTGCAAAAACATTACAACAATCTTTCACCGCAATATTGCAATATTGCAAATTCACTCAAAATGTTGCTACATCATTGCTGTTGAATTGCAGCAATGTTAAAATGTCCGCTTTTTGGAAGATTGCAACAAAATATTACAACAATATTGCAATATGTTATGAGTTTGCAATAATGTATTGTTATTGCAACCATAAACTAATGTTGCATATACAGGTATATAAATGTAAATAAATCATTAATGAAATACGTTGTAGTTAATTCATATATATTACAATATATAAATTATAGAATTTGGATTACATGCAATATTTCCGAAATATTAATGTCATGTTGCTACAAGTGTGCTGGAATTTTGTGCACTTATATCTCTGCAATGTCTTTATAATGTTGCATTGCAACTTGCAACATTGCAACGTTGCTGCAATATATTTGCAATAATCTGTGCTGTATGGGATGTAATATATGTTATATTAAAATGTTGCATCTATGAGTGGGAAATTACAACTAACATGGATGTTACATGTAACGTACACATTATATTACCTGTTACATTCCGTTTTATTATAGCAATGTAACAATTATATATATTGGTGTTTGCTGAGTTGGTTCTTAGCTGAATAGTTCAGACATGAACCATATCACGGAATCGAACCATTTACCGTGCTTTTTACCGAGCGTCACAACGTAGTTTATGTCTACTTTGTCAGGGGGCGTACTAATAGACGCGACCGTTGAATCTCGGGGGCCGTTCTCCGGTTTCTCTCTGATTGTGATTTATTTTGTTTTTATTAATTGTGTCGTTGATTACAGCACTTGTGCGCGATCATGGCTCTCGTATTCAACGCGTCCGGAAATAGTAAGTGTTAATGTTTTATTCAAATTCTTTCGGTAACGCCTAAACTTTATATATACAATATTCGATCAGCTGTTTATTAGGGTTAGGGTTCCCTCTGACTTTTGGAATAAAAGAGCAATTATTTATTTACTCGAACGAGATAACGACTGGAAAGATTATCTTAATGAAACATATTAATAATTAATTGAATATTATATGTTACACACATGAAATTGTTTAAGAAAGATTACGTATCGTACGTACGTAATCATATGTAAACATTTTTATTAATTTTGTGAGCGCCGAATAATATTCGTACATTTCTCGTTAATAAATTTGTATATCATTTACAACATAAATATATTGACTTTAATTGCATTTCTGATATGCAATGAACAATGTAATTTTTCGTTCCTTTTTTTATTTTTAATCGTTATAATCGCGAATGTAATTTATCTTGCATTACGTGATAGGTAAACACGAATGTACTTTGCCCTCGCATCATTTTTGTTTTAATTGTATCTACACTTTACTATACTTTAATTTCTTTTTTCTTGTATTGTAGAGCACGAGAAGTTTTATTTTATTTTTTGTTTTCGTGTTAAAAGAAAGAGTGTGTAAAAACAAATGTAATTGATTAATTCGCGCGCGTCAGGACAAATAAATCGATTTAATTTTTGGGTTTTTTGCAAGTAAATATTTGAAATAACAAAAGACGATTTATATATATATCAGATTATTATTGCATAAAACAAACAGAAAAACAGTTGTTTGCAAAAATACGAAATTTTACTAGGTTCATGATCAATATATCAGTAGTGACTGTGCAAATGTACAGAAATCTAACGGAAAAATTTTGGAAATGTATAACTTTTTGAAATATTCGAATATATTATACATTCTTTGCCTTGTCTATGTCTTTAATATAATAAAAAATACATATCTATTTTTTTTTACAATGAATTATTTTGCAATTGTCAATATAAATACTTAAATATGTATTTATTATTAAGACATAATAAAATAATATGCTTGAATACATTTAGTTTAAGCTTGATTGTTTTTTTTTTGACAGTACAGAGACTACAAAGGATTTTCCAGAGAGCTTATTCGGATGCCAAATATCCTCAAATCACGACTCATTACACAGTAGTGCCCAGGGAGCAAGATTCAAGATGGAAAGGTATATTTTTTTTTTATTTCTAAAAATAATTAGAAAATATTAAGAGAAAAAGAGAGAGAGAGAGAGAGAGAGAAAATATATATATATTTTATTTGCTAGATGTAAATATGGAAAGGTTTGTGGATGAAACCGACATTCTAATTGTTGGTGGCGGTCCAGGTGGATTATCGGCAGCTATTCAGGCTCGTAGATTAGCAGAGAAGCATGGCAAGGAACTAAGAGTTACTCTTGTTGAAAAAGCATCTACAATCGGAGGACATATTCTTAGTGGTGCCTGTTTGGATCCAATTGCCTTGAACGAGCTTTTTCCAAGTTGGAAAGAATTGGGTGCACCATTAAATACTCCTGTTACGGAAGACAAATTTGCATTTCTTACAGAAAAGAAAAGAATATCTATACCTATTTTTAAAGGAATGCCAATGTATAATCATGGAAATTATATAGTAAGGTGAACAAAATTTATTATTATTGTAAAGAAAAGGATTAATAAGTGATGAATATATTTTTAATTGTAAAATTTATGTATTTATATACAGATTAGGGCATGTTGTGGCATGGCTTGGTGAACAAGCAGAAGCTGCTGGTGTAGAAATATATCCTGGTTATGCTGGGTCAGAAGTTTTATATCATGAAGATGGATCTGTCAAAGGAGTGGCTACAAATGATGTTGGTATTGCTAAAGATGGCTCACCCAAAGATACATTCGAACGGGGCATGGAACTTCATGCAAAATGTACCATATTTGCAGAAGGCTGTCATGGTCATTTGACAAAACAGTTATCGAAGAAATTGAATCTTAGGAAAGATTGCGAGCCACAGACATATGGCATTGGATTAAAAGAGGTAATTATTATATAGTTGTGTCTCAGAATTTGAAAAATTGTAAAAATATATATTATTATAAAACAAAACATATATTTGGCAGGTTTGGGAGATAGAGCCAAGCAAACATAAACCTGGAGCAGTTGAACATACAGTTGGCTGGCCACTTGATAGAAATACATATGGTGGATCATTTTTATATCATCTAAATGAAGAAACACCTTTAGTTGCTGTAGGCTTTGTTATAGGATTGGATTATACCAATCCCTATCTATCTCCATTCAAAGAGTTTCAGAGATTTAAACAACATCCTAGCATTAGGCCCACATTTGAAGGAGGAAAAAGGTTATTATTTGTAATAAGAAATTTATTTTGATTACTTGCATTATTTTTATACTCTTCTTATATTCTTATATTTGTGTTTCTTAATTATAGAATAGCTTATGGAGCTAGAGCATTAGGAGAGGGTGGATTCCAATCTATTCCAAAACTTCAATTTCTTGGTGGTTGCCTTATTGGATGTACAGCAGGTTTTCTAAATGTACCCAAAATTAAAGGAACTCATAATGCTATGAAAAGTGGTATGTTGGCTGCGGAAAGTGTTGTCGAAGCGATTATAGATGCGGAAATTAATACCTCACCGACGAAAGGCTTAGAACCAAAAACATATACAGATAAAATAAAAAGTAGTTGGATTTATAAAGAACTGAAAGCCGTGAGAAACATGAGACCTAGCTTCCACACTTCTCTTGGACTTTATGGTGGCTTGATGTATTCAGGAATATCCATGTTAGTGGGCGGAAGAGAACCGTGGACTTTTTCTCATGGAGGTAAACAGAAATTTTAGCAAAGATATTTAAAAAAATTTCTTGGAAAATATCGTAAATGCCAAATTTCAAATTATATTTTAAAATGTTTTCTATTTATTATGTTTGCAGGACCTGATTATCAAAAGTTGAAATCTGCAGCTGAATCGACGCCTATAGAATATCCTAAACCGGATAATAAAGTGTCTTTTGATCTTCTGTCATCAGTGGCTCTAACCGGTACGAATCACGAAGCTGATCAACCAGCCCATTTAACTTTGATGGATGATACTATTCCAGTGAAAAGGAATCTAGCTAAATTTGCTGGTCCGGAAGGCCGATTTTGTCCTGCTGGTAAGTCAATTTAATGCATGTGATTATATTATTTTAATTAAATCAGTAGAAAAGTCAGTAGAAATAGTTGGTAAATATATTAGTAGAATGCATGCTATTAACATTACCTATACACTGCAGAATATATTAGATACATTTTTAATCTTTTGACACATTATTTTAATGCGAATGATTAAATTAAAAAACTTTATAGATGTTACAAGTTTATATTAATTTTTACATTTACGAAACATATCAAAAGAAGCCAAATCGAGCTAAAAAAGCTTCTGCAAAATAAAAACAATAACAAAATAAATATTAAAACGAAGACGATATAAACTATTTTGTTGATTGAATAAGCTTTAGTGATAAAAGTTGATTTTTTTCGTACGGATACATTTAATGCGGACTTTATTTCGCGAAAAAGTATTTATTGAAAAAAATGGATAAATAATAGAAAAATATCATATTTATATTTTTCTAATTATTCCATTTATCTAACATCTATTTTTAATGAACTGTATGAATTCAGAAGCATATTTAATTTTCTTTTGAATACCAAGATATTCAGAAGCTAATAATTTTGCAGTATCATAATTTTTGAAGGAAATATTAATTGAGAAAATAGTTTTAAAAAATGTTTATATTTTTAAGAGCAAGCAATTAATAATTATATTAATAATTTTTTAATTACTAAATATAAATTCTTTCACGGTTATCTCTTTTTATTTGGTTGTGCATAATTTGAATTAAATATATTTAATACAACATAAATATTTGTTCCGCATGAAATTGCTAAAAACGCTTATTAATATATTGAAATCAATTTTTAATCGAGAATATTTAAAAAGCTTAGCTTATTGTAAATGGAAACATTCAACACGTTAATGACGAAAAAATAGATTTGCAACATTGCGAAATTTGTTCCACGTAATTTTACGTGGATTTAACTACTTTTATATTTCATTTCATTATTTAAAATATAATAGACAAAAAATTTTTAGGTAGTTTTTAAAAATAATTGTTTTACATTTTTCTCCGAACATATGTAGATACATAATATTTGTTATATCTTCAGGAGAACAAAGTAACTCGAAATCTATTATAAGATCTATTATTATTAAAATATTCTGGGGTAAACATTCAAATCTATTATATTTGTAATGAATATATTTAGCTCTCAACTTTTTTGACTTCTGACGTAAGTATATATATACGATTTCATCAAATATTTAAACTTACTAAATATATTAATAAATTCGCTTTTCACGAAAATCTGTTTTATGCAAAATTATTCAGCATTTTAAGAATATTACAAAGTGATCAATTTTGTCGGCGATAAATTTCCGCGGACTGCAAGCAATCCACCAGTTTCTTCCTCTTCCGCCCTCAAGCCCGCGTCTCTCTCTCCCCTCTCTTTTTCCAGTCTTGTCGGGGGTTTATCGACCGTTGTGTCCTTGAACCTGAGCCACCCGGACAACCCCCGCATGGCTAGACAACCCCGGACCAAGCTCAACCCCCAAAATCGAACAGCGCCCTGTAGCTCCGGCCAACAACCTTGTCGATTTATCCTTTCTCTCTCTGTTCCTTGACAATTTCTATCATGATCCTGAAATGTATCATTAATAATGAAAGGTGTTTCGAGTTGCTCATAAAGTTTGTCATTTATCTTTTAAAATTCATGTTATAATAATAATAACATGGATATTTTTCATATTATACACACATATATGCACCGTAGTTCAATTTTAGCTGTCCCTATACTATATTATAATTTTATATATTATACATAGAATTTAGTCATCATATGCCTATAAATTTTAACTATAATAGCTAATATTTTTAGCTATAGATTTCTTTGTTAAACTATAGCTAAAAATATTAGTTACCATAGATAAAATTTAAACATGATATTAAATTTCAGGTTGTAACATAGGGACAGCTAAAATTTAGCTAACACAGCTGGTGACTAATTTGTTTTCCGTGTAAGAATTACACACATATTTATATAAGAAAGCTGAATCATAAAATATTCGAATTTGTTGCTAAATATTTGCTGAATTTTTAAAATTTTGTTTGGTAGCTTCGCTGTTATTAAATCTACCTTAAAGGAAAATGAATTTAGTTCAGCAGCAAAATTATTTCTGCGTCACGTACATACGACAACTATCATACATAAGGTGCTCTACGTACATAAGGCAATTAAATTTAATAATATTGTATAATTCTACTGTTGCGGAGAGTTGTCGAGTTCTCGCTATTGTAATAGAGAAGCGAAATTCAGAGCCAGTACATTCACAACACAATAAATTGAATTAGAGGTATAATACATAAGAGACGCAAAGATTATGACTGTTACGAAAAATTGCATTAACGTGTTTGTTATTTATAGACAAAGCTACTGCAGTCAAATTAAATTTTGTTATATTTTTAATGATAATATATTATTAATAATATGTATAATATGTGTAAATAATATATTATTAATAACATATTTTAATATGTTATTAATATATATATAGAATATAATAATATATTATTCATAATATATTATTCATAATATATTATTAAATAATATAAATTTTACTATATTGTTTAATAAATCTGAAATATTACTTTTTTTATAATAAGTTGTAGCTTTCTTTTAATTAAATGTCTTTAGAATTTTTAAATTAAAACTTTATCGGAGTAAAATTTATGATGAAATTTTTAACCGAATAGAATTCTGTTCTTATCCATGACTGCTGACAATCTACGGTTGTTATCTGATTAAATCCTCGAAATTTCTACTTATTGATTACGTACAATTCTAAATCTATTGAGCTCAACAGCTTCGTTGTATCTCAACATTCTGTTTCATTTAAACTCTGTCATTTATGTCTTGCTTGGACATCTTGTACATCGTGTTGCTTTCGAAGCAGACAAATTTATGCGTCTACCCTCGCACCATTGTCTCTCGAACACTCACCCTTGATTTTTACGATGTATTCCTTCTTCATCCTCTCGTCTATCCTTTCCGTCTCCGGGGCTGCGTCTTCCTGTTTCCCCTTCACGGACCCGGGGCATTGGCGAGAAGCTCGTCTGGGAGCTTTCCTACAGGATAGCTGCACCGTCTGGGAGCTGGTGGGGACCGGGTTATCGACTGTCTGGCCGAGGTCACGATGTGACCTTCGCGGTGTAAATCTCACACTCCGTAACGTCGAGGATATACGTATCTGTTGAATAAAACGTGCTGAATAAATTGTTCTTTATCGCGAAATTTTCAACATTTTCGTACAACAGTAAATAGCATGAAAACAAGAGTAGCAGCAGCTTGAGTTCATTAAGGATGTATAGAAGACATCTAAAAATGGTACAAAATTTATAAAAATTATATAAATTGCTTCTACTTTGATACTAAAGCTATTATTAACATTTTAATTCACTAATTTATTTAAAAGTTATTGCAATTTAAATTTCTGCCGGTTTTGCATATAATCTTGTAAAAATTTGTTACTTTGATTGATTATATTACGTAAATACCGAAAAAAGGTATTACGTAAATTTTTTACATGTTACCTGGAATTTTAAAGAACAATGTTGCAAAATTATATTAACATTCACTAAACTATTTAAAGGAATATAATAATAATTTGTTGAAAGATAAATATATAGCGTTGATACTTTTGTCTCCGATTATATCTCCCATACATCCTTAATCGCATTATTACATTTGACAGTACATTTCGTTGTTTGTCGGCATGTCGAATAACTTTCGGTGATTTGATATATCCTTCGATGCAGTTTGAATTGGAAGATATTCGGGAACGTGTCAATTAAGTCCAAAACACGTATGTGTGTAATCTGCTTTCAGGTGTTTACGAATTCGTGCCGTTAGAAAGCGGAGATGGCGAGAGATTACAGATCAATGCGCAAAATTGCATTCACTGTAAGACTTGCGACATCAAGGACCCGAGTCAGAACATCAATTGGGTCGTGCCCGAAGGTGGCGGTGGACCTGCTTACAACGGCATGTAAATTCGGTCGATTGATACATTGAACGCGTTTGAACGTGCAGTGTTCGTTAATTACTTCATTGTTCGCATCAATATCGGCTTTATATCCTTTTCGACGAAGCGTAGATATACATCGTAATTATGTTTTCGATTCTGCAAATATAATTGGGCGTTTTCAATAATTACGAGTAACGTGTTTTCTGGATTTCGTGCGTTACAATGGTATAATTATTGAATATATTGCACAAATAATGTAATTATTTCGGATTCTGATCGAACGGATTAATACGATTACGAGATCAATTCGATAAAGAGGTATACGATCTATCTTTTTTATCGTGTATATGTCAATTTTGTAACTGTACATATATAACATTTTTTATCCATTGCCGAACAATTTACAAAATTTATCACTTGCTGGGATAATGTTTATTGAATCGGTAATCAGATTGGGAGACATCATGTGATATATTAATTTGATGGGAAATCTGTGTTCTTGTTTCGACATCTTTGCGATGCACTTTTACAATGAACTTTGAAAATATAGGAGAAATAAAGTGTTTCTCGAGCGTAAAGAGAAACAGTTTTTATAACAGTGTTCTATTGTTATAGATTTTTGATATAATCATTGTTTAGAAATATATCTTGTACACTTTGTATATTAGTATATTTTTTTATACAAGAGATCATTGAAATATATATTTACAATTCTAATTTTTGTTGTGTACATGTGTGTGTGTGTGTCATGGAATATAATTTTTATTTTATTTTTATCCTTTGTGAATAATAATTGAAATCCACACAAGCTTTTCTTTGGTAAACTACGAACATTTGTAAGAATTCAATAAAAAAATATATTTTCGAAAATCTAATATTTTCTTGGAAGTCTCAAAAGTGCCTTAAAAATTTTTTTATCACAAAACTATTATTATTTGATTCTAATTAACATTAAAATATTAATAATTTTTTTATATAACAAAAAGTTAAATTTGACATTTTATATATTCTATATTTTATATATCCATAAATTTCTTTCTTTCTTTATTTATTTTTTCATTCAATTGACAAATCGCGAATTATAAAAGTGAGATGCTCTAACCCTACTAACAAAAAATTCTATAAGAAAAATTTTACACTTTGTAATAAAATTAAACTTTTCTATGAATAGGATATGGTTTAAAAATATATATTTTGATATTATTATTTATTATAAGTACATATTTATATTTATACTGAGTCTTCCAAATTGAGGGGTTTATCGATGAAACGCAATTTTATTTAGAGTCGGTATCGAAGTTGACCCAATATTGTTCAATCTTGCTGTTTTACTGGAATTCGCGTTCCCAAAACGCGCGTAAATTTTTACAGCGCGCATTATTTCGCATGTGTTCGCAACATTTTTCTATCTACTGGTATTATGATTTCCTCTGAGACCACGGATGATGACCGAACAACGTCTAACAATAACGTTTGCAATAACTTCACTACAGGGATGATTTATAAGAACGATTATGACGCGAAATGCAACGAGCGAATATAAATCGAGATATACTCTATTTTTTGCGATTGTTTTAAGCGAATATAAATTCGCGAACAATAAATTTAACGATATCTCGAGCGCGCGATACAATCAGCCAATTTTGATTTACAAAGAAAAATGAAACATCGTGCTGCAATTTTTTACTGAGAATTTTTCGGACTCAAAGGTCGGTTTTCGCCGAGAGCAAATTCCCGTAACATACAATTTTCGCGGTGCATTACATTTCTACGTTGTGTTTCTCGTGTTTCTCTTATTTTTGCACTCGCAGAAAGTTAGGAGAGAGAATGACGTTTATCATCGCGCTCTTCCGAAGGAATTGTATCACGCGATACATTTCTCTTCAAAACGGCAGTGATGTATACATTTATAAAATGAAATACGCGAATCTTACATCTGCGCTCGTCGGAGGGAAGTAGCGCATCCACTCTACAGCTGATACGGACAAAATTTATTACCTGATGTAACTTTATAGGAGCGAAGGGATAAGGGAGGATCTCTCTCTTTTGCCGTTTTGCACGCGTTTCTGCAGTTGTAAAATTGTCGCATCGTGAAAGCCGACCGGAGGTGCTGGAGAATTCTCGCAAACGTGAATTCATTCGCAAGCACAACAATATTTATTCACTATTCGTTGCACATTTTACGTCGAAACTGAGGGAACAATTTCGAAAAAGTTGTATTTCTTTCCGAGACGATTATATTTCTCTTTTACATACGCATAGAGATATATGTACGAACAGGCTCATGTTTAAAATTCATGTTTTGTTTAATTAATTTTCAATGCATTCCAAAATTGATGTAAAATATTAATCTGTTTTAAATCTACATAGTTTACGAAAATATTGCTCAAACGTTATGTATAATAGATGCCCCAAATTAAACGATTCGTTATTACATTTCATAATCTATAGATATATTTTGTCAAGTTTACAGAGAGAGAAAGAGAGAGAAAGGAAGGATGATTTAACAAATTATATTTTTTAAAAGCCCATATCTCGCGATCGCATCACGAGCGACGTAAAATTTTGATAAAATACGTACAATCAATCCGTTTTTTATCTCCGAATTCCCTTTTTTTAATGATCGTTGCACATTTAGATACATTTCGTATACGATGGTCTTTGATCTAGTGATGCTAACAATATTTTTATTCGCTGCTTTTGCATTCGGGATCAATTAGTTATTCATGGACCATTTTTACGATATAGCGTACGATTTTATCCGACATCAGTAGTATACATGACTTATGGCCAGACGCGCTCAATGAAGAAAGATCCAAAGAAACTCTCTTCAAAGGTAAAGACGTGATAAAACTGCGAAATACAGCGGTCGCACATACGTGTGAGTGGCTGTAACAATTGGCGGGATCAATCAATTGTCGAGAAGCGCAGACAGAGAGAACGATACTTACATACGAGCACCGTCGGCGGTCCGATGGAATTCACTCTGCGGCTGATCGGCATTTCGATGGATTCCTCATACAAATTCCTGATGCAACGCATCTTTTTGCATGATTTGCTGATCACCATGCAACTCAGTATCGGTAGCCCTTCATTTATACGGGTTTTCAAGCATTGCCGGACTTCCTGCAATTTTTGAGTTTAATGTTTAACGAACAATCTAAAGTTGAACATTCATTGAAGGGCGATAAATTTAAAAGTGAAATATATAAAAATATAAATTTTAATATAATTTGAGAATTAATTTAAATCTTGTTTTATTAAATAATTCATTCCTTTGATCTTAAAATTTAATATCTTGATCATTTTTTACATCGCTTATACATAGTCAATTATGTAAGTAATGTAAAGTGATCAAGATATTAAATTTTATGATCAAAAGAATTAGTTTATTTTATAGGACAACACAATTTAAATTAATTTTCAAATTATATAAAAATTCAAAATTTTTGCTATATTTCATAATTTACTATTCTTCGAAGAATGTTCAACTTTAAATTGTTGCTTTTTGCGTAAATAAGAAATTAAATTTCAAGATTCTTTCCAGAATAATTTTATTAAAAGAAAAATTTATTGCGTTTATTTTATATATTAAAATTTTACATATATATATGCCATATAATTCGACCGAAACATCAATTAGAATATTTCTTTGCGACAATGACAGAAGATTGGAATGAAAGTACGTTTGCTTGTCCAAAGACCTAGATGATAAAAATAAACAATTACTTTTCTATGAAGCAAATAATATATTACAGGAAATCACTAAGCAATCGTAAGTCGGCAAAGAAAAACGACTTATTATTAAAATGCAACTTATTACTAAAGTGCATCGTTTTACGAAATTATCATGCAATTTCTTCTGCAATTTAGAACTGTTCATTCATTTGCTACTGGAAATAAACGCTCTTATTATTATAAATAATAAATTAATTCCGCACTAAAGAGCGTTAAATTTTTCTTGAAAGAAAAGACCTTAATTTTATGCGATTGTCATTTTACTTATTTTATACATTATTTTGAGATAGTTTATTACATGATTACATAATTCTAAATATGACATGTGATATTTTTGATATATTCTATCGAATTTTGTGTTAAAATAATTTTGTATTTTAATGGAATTTTGATTGTCAAATATTTTGATTAATTGATATTTTAATTAATTTTAGATCATTCGGAAGTTGTAGCTGTCAGGACAATTCTCAATCATCGCTTTTAGCGATACTCTATTTTGATGAATGTTTCGATGTTATACGACACATATTGAAATTTAAAATTGCAATAATTGTATATAGATTGCTGTTTAAAATTCACTCATTACGATGCAATAATTATTTCGACATTATCTTAAACAGTGACAATAGACATAATTTTATATAATTATTTAAAAATTGTGTAAAAAAAGATACTTTTCTGTTCTTAGTTTTATTCATTTTGTTTGCATTTTAATTTATTTTCAGGATACAGATAAATCTGTGAATATTGATAAAAGTACAAGAAAATCGAAATTTTGGTTTATAACAAATTTATTTGTTCAATGATATGGAGAATTTTATATGTATGGATGTGAATTATAATAAAAATCAACACTGTCATAATAAATAAGCTCATTTTATGTAAGTATATGTATATTACACATGTAGTTATAAATTTTTTAACATTTCACATGTAGCATTAGACATTGAGAACACTGGATATGGAGAAAAAATCTGTACTCTGCACTCACACATAGTTATTCTTCATATTATTGAACGAATAAAAAAGCCGAGAAATCTCGGTTTATAAGAAATGTATTTGTTATACATTCTGCCGATTTCTTTTCTCACATCTTGACGCTAGTCGCGCCGAAGGAACACTGCATCATTGCTCGTGTCGATGCGCATTTCGAGTCCCTTCTTCGCGAAGTCCTCCGTCTTGCTTTCGATCGTAACTCAGTAACGAAAGCGCAAGCTTACCGCCCTGCATTTTTAAAGCAAATAACATTGCGCCCTTCAGCCGACATCTAAAAAACTTATTACTTCGACATCTATTCTTTTTCGTCGACGAGAAGTTTGAAATCATACGGTTGTAGTTTCCTTCTCTTATGATATACCGCACTCGTATAGTGCGATGAATAATTTCCGAACGGTTGACGACCACCTTGGGAAGACTCGCGGCTTGGCTCGACGACCCCTCCTGGAATCCGGAGTACGAGGATTACTCGGCGTTGCGTGGCGAGGTAGGTGAGATTTCCTATATACGTTGTATCAAACTAGTAACAATGTGGTAACTTTTCGACGACCACCATTAAGGGCGGCCCATTAAAAGGGAGCTTATTGTCAAACGTACCGAGGAGAGGAGTCGTCGGTCTCGTTAATCGGAACTTAACGTAAAATGGGTTCCATCGTGAACCCTGCGGTCGAATTCGGGCTGCGAGCCATCGGGATTTGGCCAGGTTCCCCGCGTGCCATGTTATGTCGGATTTGTTGGACAGTCTCTTTAGGTCTCGCACAAACGTTTCAGTTCAGATACATCATCGCTTGCATTGAAACTAATAATTTCCCGGATCTGGTGGACAGCGTGAGCACCACGTTGCCTTACAGTTTGCTTTGTCTGAAGCTGATTATCCTCTGGCTGAATCAGAGGTAAGAGATCTCGTTACACATATATATGTATATTATTCGATGTACAGATTGAAAATGTGTTTTATTAAATTGTTCATCGTACATGACGATTTTGTCGATAAAAGATCGACGAAAGATTTTTTCAGAAACTATAGGTACCTTATCGATGATAGATCCGCGCAGAGTTCTGCGATTTTTTTCCCATAATCTACCATAGTTAGATGAACGTCTAATTCATTAGTTTATGTGTTAAGGATAATCTTTTCAGATTATTTAACGATATTTTAACATCGATGTTGCGGGATTGGCGCAATTGCGACTCTATCGCTCTTAACATGCGTATCATGATGAATAAAACGAATGTTTCGCATCGATGTTCGATGTTGATTATCGGCATATATGCCATGGCCGTCGTAGTCTACAGTTCTGTAATAATAGAACTTAATAATATGGATACGAATGCTGAGACCAGTGAAAAGGAGCTCTTTCTTAAGATGAAATTTCCCTTTGTTCACGAATTCTCTCCTATATACGAAATCGTTATGTTCGTTCAATTTATTCAGCTGCTAAGCAACGCTTCAGTAATCGGGATGCTGAATGCACTGATAATGACACTGGTAAGTTTTCAATTTTTTTAGATTCATATTAACATTGTTAAGTAACATAAATGATTATTCTTATCTAATTTTTGACAAATTCACCTAAAATTGGATGTTAAAAATCAAGACTTGTATTTGCAATCATATATGTTTTGAATGTAAAGATTCGCTAAATCGTCTCATTAAATCGTAAGATCCGCGAAGCTCTACGGTGGATTCTCCATTTGCTTTTACGACACAGTACTACCTTGGTTTTAGATACTGCATGTAAGTGGCCAGATAGATATTGTGTGTCGAGGATTGTTCGAGTTATTTTCAGGAAAACGCGAGTACAAGTCGTGGAAAAACGCAACAGGCGCAGTCATTCGCAAACATCAAGATCTTATTGCGTTTTCGGATAACATCGAGAAGCTCTTCTCTTACATAGCGCTGTTGCAATTTCTTACGAATACACTTGTCATTTGTTGTATAGCATTTGCGATCTTGACAGTGAGTCTCGTTTACGAATATTTTATATTAATATAAAACAATGTATGCATATGTCTGATAATAACGATCTCTGTTCGATATTTTAGTCTATTGCAAGCGATCAAGGATACGCCTTATTGCTGAAGTCTTTCTTTTTTATATCGCTATCACTTTGGAAGCTTTCATTTTTTGCTTTGCTGGAGAATATCTTAGCAATAAGGTTTAATAAGAAATATCTAAATAATAAGATTTAAATAAGCCTTTATCTTTCACAAATATTAGTGATTTAAAGAATCAGTTTTATTTTGCAAAAGTTGTTTTATCATACAAAACTCAACAAAATAATTAATCTTAAAAAGGGCTGATTTTCTTTTTTACGAAATATATAGCAATTTATTTAAATTTTCCTTGTTAATGATATAGTCTTCTTTTTTACAGAGCAAATTGATCGCAAATACAGCTTACGAAGTTTTTGGTATGACGCAAAACCCAATGAAAGTCGAGTTCTATTGATTATAATGTTGAGATCACAGAAACGATTGACTTTAACAATCGGAAAATTTAACGATTTGTCTTTGCAAGTTTTTGGAGATGTAAGCTATTTTAGAAAGTATATCTTTTTTTAAAATTCTTCCTTACTTAATACATATAATATGTTTTTATATAAAATCAATATTATATTTCAGACTTTAAAGGCTTCTGCATCTTATGTATCAGTGTTGCTTACAATGTCTTAATTGGCAAAAAATATCTGCTACGAAATCTACACATACACATAATATACAATACAATATTTCATTTTTAACAATTAAGAAATTAGCAAAATTTTTCTGAAACAAATTTAAATTTTCCGAGCTTATAAGAGCTCTTGTATGACGATCAGTTTCAAAGACAATTTGTTTTTTTAATTGAATCCTTATACACAGGACACATTTCTTGGTGCGATACAAGCAATTAAATAAAATCTCAATTTGAGATTTTTATTTTTAATAAATCCCTTAGATTCTCTTAAAAAACAGAAAAATATTATATTTCATTTTTAAGTGTTTTATTCTAATTACCTTTTCCTTTATAACACATTTCACATTTTTCTTATAAATTTCGAAAACAAAACGCAAAGATGTACACGCTGAATGTATCCTCATGATTTAAAAATATATAGCAGCATTTACATATCTTACCGTGTTTATACCTTTTGCATCGTACAAACTTCAGCTGTTTATCGAAATTTTTTCTCTCCTTTAGAATAAATGTAGATATAAGCATTGGATAAATGTGTCAGCTGCCTGACATATTATAAGAAATATTTCCGATCACTTTATATAAATCGTGCACATGTATAAATCGAGATTGCATATATTTTGACAATTTTTTCTCTTTGCCTGTTATACGCTTCTTTATGCATTTCTACCGATCGTCCGCGAAGATTCACTACTATCTTTTGTCCCGGAAACTTTTCTTGACGATGGTCACTCCGACGATTTTTATGCTCTCGCCTTGACGCATCGCGCTTTTCTCCATTTCCGCTTGAATTTTTAAAGTAAATCACCCGCAATGACAGTGGCGGAGGCGATTTTTCTGTTCCAGAAGTTACCAAGCATCACTCTCGCCGATTCCTCGCCCGAAGCCTGCAATCATCGTTCGATCGTAGCAACTTTTTCTTGCATTCCTGAGCACTCTGACGAAAATACACGTCTAGCATTCGCGATTGGTCGGCGGCCGTTCAAGTGGGGTCGCATCCGATCTCCATTATCCGGAAGCTCATCCTCCGGTGAACGTGCAGCGATCGCGCGGAGTTTCGCTCGGGATTCGTTCGAAAGCGGAAACGAAATCTTGAAACAGCCGCGATATGATACCGACCAGCACCATCAGTCGACTGGTCGAAATCTGCCTCCGTCTTACTGGGATTTGGCCAAATTCTTCGATTTTCTTCAGACTACTCTGGTCGATTGTGATGGGAACAGGACTGATCTTCCAGTATCGATATCTTCTGACGCACTTTAGCGTCGAGGAGCTGCCGAATTTCATAGATGGTTTAAGTACCACCTTACCGTACAGCCTTCTCTTTTTCAAGCTAATTATCTTGTGGGTCAATAACCGGTATGTGTTTTCTATATTTTTTTATTTATTTTCAAAAATATCAAATATATTTCAGAACTAGATAATACGGTAAGTGAAATACTTGCTTTCAAAGCTTATTTTTAAGTGTTTTGCAATTTAATTTTAAGTTGTGTGTTGGGTCTTGAAACTATTTTTTAATATTTATATTTATATCTATTAATCTATTGTATATTTATATATATTTATATAAAACATGTTATTTTTGATGAAAAATAAAGCAAATTGTGTGTGTGTGTGTGTGTGTGTGTGTGTGGCAATCATTTGTCAAAATCGTGCTTCTTTTAACTTTGAACTTAACTTTCTTTTGTAAATGGCTAACCATGCATTTTACATGACATCTTGTAAATGTAACATACATCAATATTGTACGATGTTGTGAAATATTGTATTGCAGAATATTCAACACTCTTCTGAAGACGATGTCCAATGATTGGTACGAGTGTTCGAACAAGTACACCATGATCGAGAAAGCGATCCTTGCATATCGTTGTTCGAAACTGGTTATCGGTCTTTATTCGATAGCGTCATTGCTTTACAGCATCGCGACCATCGATTTTCACAAGCCGATCAATGACGATTGCCGCCAATTGCTTATAAAGATGGAATTTCCTTTCGTTTTTTGCGACTCGCCGATCTATGAAATCGTGGTGTGTGTTCAATTCATTCATCTAATGGCGGTTGTTATCGCTATTAGTATGCTGGACGCATTAATCGTTACTTTGGTAAGTTGTCATCGACAAGTATTTGTGATCTTTTTTACTGTGTTATTTGTATTTTACAATTTGTGATTTTTATAATTTTATAATTTTTCAAACTTGCTGAGATGAAACGCGAACGCAAAACGAATTAATTAGATGTCTTTACAATGATATTTGATGGACAAAGATTATGATAAGTAATAAATATTGTAGCATAAATAAAGAAGTAATAAACATATAATATGAGTTTTGCTAAGGAATTTAGATCTTGAATTTTTTTCTTTTTTTCTTAATTAATAAAAAAATTAAATTAAATTATTAAATTATTGGTAATTAAATAAACCATACTTGTTTTTCTTAATATCCAACTCTTTTAATTGATATTTTTATTATTAAAATTTTTATTATCTTTTTTATAATAAAATATTAATCGATAAAGTTAAGTATAAATATTTCTCATCAAACATTTCTTCTTTAAAATTTTGAATTAATAAACAATGAATGATAATGCGGCGATAGTGAGATTATTACGGGATATATCATGTCAAAAAAAAGAAGCATTGATTTTTGAAAAATATAAAATATATATGAAAAAGTGAAAGAATAAAACGATACACACAATATATGTAGTACGATACGGATCTCATGCATATATTATTAATGCACGCATCAGATAAAGATTAACAATTCGATCCCGAAGAGCGATCGATGCTACACAGATCACATATTCTTATATCGTATCTCCCTTATGAGGGTCTTATATATCCCTTCTCTTACATAGATCTTTCAATATTCCCATTTTCGATCCGCGATCCTTGCGCATGTCAATAGAACGTTGGATCTTTCCGTGCAAGCTTTAAGGGTGGGGTGATTGTGCTTCCGATTATTTCACCTCCCTTCTTTTTTTCTTACAAACGTGACCACGTTCCGCCTTGAATTCCTGATGTTATCATTTGTCTCAAAAATGTGAGTAGAAAAAAAGGTTTTGAAAAAGAGAGACATCGTTTATTTTTTTTTAAATTGTATACACGCATATTTTGTGACTTCTCTCGTGTTTTTTATTCGATGTATAGGTAGATAATATTGACAGTTTTGTTATAATTTTATATTTAAAAAATTTTTCATTAAAAAAATTAATGAAAAATTATAGATTAGGTTTCATAATATTTTTTGCAATAAATTATCTCTGTCATTATCTTTCTGTTCAAGTGTGTGTTTAACTTATTTACAACTCAACACTTATATAATTGAATAATTATATGCGTAGATGCTGCACATTGGTGGGCAAATAGATATTATGCAACAGCAGATGGAAGAGATTTGTTCGAAGGATGACAAACGTGATTTGTTTACTGTTATTATCAGGTCTTTAATTAATAAACATCATAAAATTATTGCTTTTTCGGACAATATCGAGAGTCTTTTTTCTCTTATCGCTCTGATGCAATTTGTGTCGAATACGATAATCATATGTTGTATCGGGTTTCTCATAGCAACTGTGAGTATTCGACAAACATATTCGTTGTATTAAAAAATTATTTTTAATATTTTTAATAATTTTTATATTATTATCTCGTATTATTATAATTTCTTCATGTTATTACTTTTATTCTTATCTCTCATCTCACACCTATTTGAAACTTTTTCACTAATTTTTTCACTAATCATTACACTTTATGAAAATTACAGCACATGTATAAATATTATTTTGCATATAGGATGTACTTTGAACTTTTACACATCTCACTGAAATTAAATAATAACACAAACTTTTAATTGCATTATAAAACCATCTTATTTTATACATTTTTTCTTCTTTTAAATATTATTTGTTAGTATCTTAGTGGTCTCAGATTGACATACGCTCACGCGAATCATATGATAGACATGAGTTTCTGCTTAAAGTCACAAAAGTTTATATATATGAATGTGTGGAATTAAAAGCGATTTTTAAACAGCTATGAATACCGATAATCAGCTGTTTTAATATAGTGAAGTGTCAAACGAAAAGTTATCTCTGTATCCATTAAAAAGCTGAAATTGATCGAGGGCCCGTTGTGGGCCGTACAGGATAGGGAGAAGGGAGAATTATCCACTTGTTACTCTCTTGCTATCTGACATGAGACCTCTGTGTTATAGCGATCGATATAAAAGCGATCGAACGTTCTTGATTATCTTCTTCTTGATTTGCAGTCGTTAGGCACAGACGAAGGTATCATGATGTTGGTAAAGACTGTTTTTTTTACATTGCTATCACCATGGAGGCATTTATCTTTTGTTTTGCCGGTGAATATCTCAGCAACAAAGTGAGTATCTGAAATTATCACTGCAAAAACTTCTTCGATTTACGTCCCAAAAAAATTATTAAATTATGTTTGTTGTAAAAATATCGAACTAATACTTACATGAGACTTCTCTCGCATTTTTCTACCTTCCATTTTTCTCCATCTGTCTCTCGCATTTGCATTCTAGAGCAGAACGATCGGTGATACAGCATATGAATCGATCTGGTACGATCTCGAGCCTCGAGATTGCCGTATTCTGCTGTTTGTGATAATGAGATCGCAGAAGCGGCTGACGATCACTGCGGGAAAATTTATGGATTTATCGTTGGAAGGATTCACGACAGTAAGATTTTCATATTGATGGAATTATGGATTTTTTTATAGCTACACATATAAAGTTTAAAGATAGATATCGTAATGTACGTTTTCATATTATAATCTGACAATGCACTGCTTACAAGATCGAAATTAGCCATTCGCGTTTAGCAATAAATATTTCAAATAAAATTATAAACAAAAAATAGCCAATTAATTAAGTTAACATAATTTGAAACAGGACAATATAATTTACGGACAATACAATAATAATATATATGTAACTTTTGAAATTTTATATTTATTTTTACACTATTACATTTTATTATTCTACTATTTACATTAATTTGTAATAATTGTTAAATTAAAAACAGATAATTAAATATAATTTATATCACTTGTTTTATTTATAATATAATTAAACTGTTTTATTTTATTGAGATCTATACTTACGCAGAGTACATTGATTCATTATACATTATTTAATTTTCCAGAGTTTGAAAGCCTCTGCATCGTATATATCTGTTTTATATGCAATGTATTGATACCGATGAAGCGTATAACTTATGAATGTAAAACTATATATACAATAGGCTGTGAGAATGTCAAAGTATTATCCATTTTCTACTGTAAATGGATTGTACTAAACAATTTGATAATATGACACAGAGAAAAGTCGTTTAATTAATTTAATTGTATCTCTCACCTCTGTAACATTATTTTGAGCGTGTAAATTTTTACCATTCTTTGTCATTCCTCTTTGTTGGATTAATTATCTGACCACGCGATACAAGATCAATTGTATATCGAGATACGAGAAAATTATCGTGCTTAAATTGTGGTTTAATTAAAACATTTTATTATATATTTACCATATATATCCACCAAAAAATGTATGGTTAAAACCATTGAAAATCGGACATCTGAAACTCACTCACATGCAGTTCGCGATATCACTACGCTTTGAAATCGTCGTTTGCAGACAATAGGCGCGTAAAAACATCGATGCGCGCATGATCAGTGCCATTTCCATCATATTTCTGAACTGTTTGACAAATTCTCAGTCGTTATCTTAGATTCTAAGCGTTTGCTGTCGCATAAAGCATAGCTAGAAAAAAGTTTTCTTGCATTTTTTAAGCAAATAAATTATTCTTCTTCCTTGTCATTGACATTTTTTACGCTAAAAATGAAGACTACGTTGTGTACCTTTTCGATCTTGCAACTCTTCGTAATAATCGTTGGATTGCTGCAATTTTAATCCACTCTCGTATTCTCGATAGGTTACAATTGGTCGGTGATTACCTTGCTACGGCTGCGTTTAGTTAGTTGTCTCAAACCTCGCGTGATCAACTTGCTGTTCTAAAATCGTTTTAGAATCGTACGTAGCCTGATAGTCCGTGACTTTACAACGTTAGCGAAGTCACAAGTGCATTTTGGATAATTTTGCTTGTCGAAATTTCACGTTAATAGATGTAAATTTCAACATAAATTTTGGTAAACTGTGCCACGCGATAAAATGATAGTCGCAGATACTGTTGCCCTCTCGGTGCAACTCGGTCTTCGACTTGTCGGGATTTGGCCAAATGCGTCGTATGCATTGTTGTTTCGGTTCGGTTGGATATTCACCATAGGCATAATACAGACTTGTCAGTACTGGTGGATCGCTATCCACCTCAAGACTGAAGATCTCTCGCAACTTTTGGACGGTTTAAGCGTCACTTTGGAATACACTGTGATGTTTCTGAAATTGATTATATTATGGTTAAATAGTCGGTAAGAGAACATCTGTCTCTCTCTCTCTCTCATACATCGTGCCTCTCAGATGGAAACTGAGATCATTTCTATTTTATTCTTGAACATTTTTATTTATTTATTCTTTTGATATATTAAAAGTTCTGGCTTTCTTGAATAAAAATCGTATACCTGTGTATCTTTTTCTATCTCTAATCTTGAAAATACATATAAAGATTCTTTTTTATTTATAGAAAGAAATATAAAGCAACTTGACATAATCCATCTTTAAGAATCTTTTTATTTTATTTTGATGACGCCGTAATAATATTCAAGTATATTTTGATAAGTGAGCAATTCGCTCTGCCTTCTCTAATTGTTTCCATCTTAGCGCGAATCATTAAATCTATAGAGTAAACGGATAGAGTGAACTGCCGCAGTATATTTTACGACGCCCTAGCTGCGATGGTCTCAGATTGGAAGGAAGCCACTGTCAACAGCGTGCACACCATGACGAGCAAGGCCAATCTCTCGCGGCGCGTCTCCAACGTGATCATCGGGCTTCATTCGTCTGCGGCGCTTACTTACGGCATCGGGGTTCTCGTATCCCATCCCGATGACCATGATGAGGCCAATGCGATCGAGACGCCCGTTCGCGAATTCACCCTGAAGATGCAGCTCCCGTTCGAGTGCAACGAGTCGCCGCGTTACGAACTCGTTATGTGTCTGCAGTTCATCCATCAGTTGGCATCCTCCGCCGTGACCGGGATACTGAATTCTCTGATCATCACGTTAGTGAGTGGACTCTGTAAAAAATTTCTTTCTTTAGACTACTATGTCTTCTACAAGTAACTGGGCACAATATTGTATGGCGAAATCACTTTGTCGTCATTTTTTCGTAAGGCATCTATATTTTTTCTCATTTGTTAGTAATGTTTGTTATATTTGCAACATCATATATATAATTGAATACTGATAACTATTTTTTAATACTAAGAAAAGGAGATTCTATTTCTTTTGTTCTAATTAGTCTAATTAATTTTTATATTATTTATAGAATAACACTTAGGAGTTGTGTTCTGGAATCTGAAATCAAAGAAAAATATGTAAACATGTGTTCCAGATGTAACTTTCTGAGATACAGACTTCGAAATTGTCAGCGAGAATGCTTAGAGCTTGTAAACATTAATTTTACAATATTAGCTTCTCGCTTTCTATGATTCAGAAAGTCTCGCAAAGCTGAATACTTGTAAAAGAAATTTAGAATCGAGAAAAGTTAAACATTTTTTTATAAGCTTTATTTTTGTTATATAAGATTCTAAATTTTTTTTTACATGTTACAATATTTCCTGCATAATAATATATGTATTGTTATTTTTTATGTAAAATATTCACGCCACAAATTTTTTTAAAGAACGTGTACTTTCAGATTCTTCATGCGAGCGGTCAGATAGATATCTTGTGCGACGCATTGAGGAAAATCTCTTTGGAAAAAGATAACCAACAGCTGGCCGTCTCCATCACGAAAAAACTGATCGGCAAACATCAGAAAATCATTGTCTTCTCAAACAAAATCGAAACAATTTTCTGTTACATCGCGTTAATCCAATTTATGTCGAGCACGTTGGTCACCTGCTGCTTAGGGTTTATGATCGTGACAGTGAGTGGATCATTCAGCAAAAAGCGAATGTGTTGCGCAAGAGTAAGGCGATCTACAGCGCGGTTCGATGTTGCAGTCGATCAGCACGCAAGACTCCGATACGGTCGACGACTCGGCATTAATGAAAGCAATAGTGTTTTATATGGCTGCTACGGTAGAGGCGTTTATCTTCTGCTTTTGCGGGGAATACCTCAGTGCCAAGGTCGGAACGCACAATTAAGACCCTTAGACTCGGTTCACACTGTAGAAACACCACAGTGTCATGGTGTAAAACGCGGTTCGGCCATATATGATAATGGCAATTGCATTTTCATGATGGAGAACGTACCACTATTTATAATCGAAGAATTTTGAATCCTCTTTCTTTCAACATGAATGTATTACGATGCGTTCGCAACAATTATATATACATATATATATATATATGTTTCTTATATGAGCTTTTTTTAATTATGCTTTTTTAATGTATTAAATAATTTTAATCAGTAACATTATAATTTCTCGGCAATTATATTAATTTAATGCGATAATTTCAACAAAAATGCTATGTCCGAACCATTATTATCTTTATAGCATAAACGATGTTTTATATCGATATTATATGATATCGATTTATTACACATTTATCTTATTCTGACAATGCGACATCTTTTTGCAACACTCTTCTCTAGAGCAAAATGATTGGCGATGCGGCATACAAGTCAACGTGGTACGACTTGAAACCCAGTGATAGCAAACTCATCTTCCTTATGATATTGAGATCACAAAGGAGGCTCACCATCACGGCTGGAAAAATTATGGACTTGTCGCTAGAAGGATTTACGAGCGTAAGAGATTTTTACACTGCGTTTTCACACTGAATTTTCCGTATTAATAAAATCCTATTCACTTTAATTGACTAACACTGATTTATTCTTGATGACATTATTTTAAATAATCGATTTACTTTATCGATTTTTCATAAGATGCTCTTAATGCGATTAATTGGAAAAATATTTGTTTTATAAAAATATTTTGTTAGTTATTATTCAAATAATTTAAATTATTTTATTTATACTTGTGTTTTTTACTTTGTACTTTTTATTCTATTATTATTGTTTAATATAATTTTTATAGATCCTAAAGGCCTCTGTTTCGTATGTATCAGTATTGCATGCGATGTATTAAAAAAATGTATTTAAAGACAAATCGTAATGTCTAAATGCAACTAAAAGTATTGGGATTTTTCTATCGATTCTCGTTTGTTGATATCGATTTGATATCTACAATGTGAATCGATGATGATATAGATAAATTATAGGTAAATATAGACAATATATGTGATGGTGATGTATGATAAATTACCTTCCGCAGTTTATAATAAAGTGTTTAGATTTTCAATCGTTACTTTTACGTGTATATGTATATATGTACCTTGCAAATTTTGATATAAGAAAATAATTTATTAATTTATATTTTTATAACTTTTATAGTATTTCTAAGTAGAACTATATAATCACCAGTAGAAGTGTTTCAGTTTACAGTTTTACAGAATTTTACGACTGTGCGTCCAACATACCTTATATTTTTCATCTTTTTAACATTCGCATTACATCGTCTCTTACATCGTATATACTTTTTTTTCAGAATCATATTTAATTTTATTCTTTGCGCTTTCAGCGAACGCTGAACAGTCTTTAGAAAGTTTTATGCATTTTTAAAGTAAATAATTGGGCAAATGACTTTGGATATAATTCGATGTTTTTTAAAGACTATAATTCAGAAAAATGGCAAGCGTTTAATTTCGCATTTGTCATTTCTGCGAAGTCCACGTAATTACGATTGATCGATGGCTTAATGTCGCATCTTTCTCCCCCTTCCCTTCTGCATTTTTTGCCATGATTTCCGACGCTATTGTGGTGACGAGATGCGCATGTAGAAGTCGTAGTCTCTCGCAAGAAATATGTCGAAGCTAGATAAAGGTGCGATGGGACGCGCGAGCACCATCAGCGAGTCGGTCGAAGCGGGTCTACGTTTCATTGGCATGTGGCCACGTTGTATGAACGCGAACATTAATTGGTGGGCTTACATCGCGTCGGTGGCGGTGATACAATATTTTCAATACTCGTACATTCTGGCGCATTTCGACATCAGTCATCTCTCGGTTCTCATAGACGGTCTAAGCATCACGTTGGGCTACAGTTTATCGTTTCTTAAACTAATTAATCTTTGGTTCAATTGCCGGTAAAGTATTATCTTTAATGCTTCGGGGATGAGCATAAATCGTGTTTGCTGTGAAAATTGTTTTGACTTCTTTTCTATCTCGCTGGAAACACATTGTAAGTATACAAAACATTTTCGTAGGAAGCTACATGCCATTCTTGATTCGATGGATAAGGATTGGAAGGACGAGATTGCAATTAATTCGGACGTATCCACGATGATCAGGCACGCCAATCTATCTCGTCAGTGCTCCAACGTGATGATCTCGACGAATGCGTTGTCTGTGTTCTTTTACACGATCGGTGGACCGATACTTCGATCGATGATCCATAAAAACGATCAGGAAAGTACGACTCGCGAGTTACCCATTAAAATGAAATTTCCTTTTAACGTTGACAGATCACCGATTTTCGAATTGGTATTAGTAGTCCAATTGTTCCACGATCTATCGGTAGCTTGTATCATCGCTATGCTAAACGCTTTGCTTGTCACACTGGTAAGTTTCGATCATATTTTACATATTTGAATGATCCGAAGATTGTCGAAATCAATTTCATCGGATTTACATGCAAGAATATGAATAATTGTTTCTGTGCTACATATTTATATTCAATAAAAAAATATATAGTGCATGTGTGAATTTGTTTTAATTATTTGCTTTGTGCACTAGAGAATGGTCAAAATTAAGAAATTAATTTTATTTATACTTTCTTGTAATATTTATTATAGTTTATGATTTTATTTTAATGATGTTATTATGATTTTAAATTATACTTGTTTATTAATTATTAATGTTTTGTCGTTTTTTTCAGTGACGTGTTTTTTAAACGCGAATTTTGTCTTATATACTCCAAGCTCTTATTTTTGAATATGAGTTTTCGCTTTCAGATTTTTTGAGAAAATACCGATGCTATTTGACACTTTGAAATCTTCTTAAAATTAAACATTCTAGGTACTGCACGTAAGCGGTCAGATTGACATCATGCGGCAAGGCTTCAAGGAAATTACTTCCAAGAATCACACACCTTTGGTCGCTATTAAAGTTTTGATTAATAGACATCAAAAAATTATTGATCTATCTGACAATATTGAAGATCTCTTCTCGAATATTGCATTGCTCCAGTTTATCTGGAATACTCTGGTCATCTGTTGCATAGGCTTTTTGATTGTAATAGTGAGTTATTGATTTTAGATATATATATATTTTCTCAATAGAAAATATATTTTTATATCAACTCTTTTTTCTTATATGTGTATTAGAATCATTATGATTCGTCTGAGATATTAGTTTTCGTAAATCATATAAAATAAAGTAAATGTATATGTGTAATATAAATTTACGATCTCGTAGCGATCTACATGATTTCGACATTGCAGTCCATCGGTACGGAAGAAGGTGCTACGATGATAACGAAGTCTCTCATCTTTTACGTCGCGATAACTCTCGAGGCATTCGTCTTTTGCTATGCCGGGGAATATCTCAGCGCTAAGGTCAGCGCAAGGGGTTGTAATGGTAGCGTCGTAGAATTCCTCAGGTACCGAGAGAAGCGAAATTAGACGCGATTCATCGCGTGATTACTATTGCAGAGTAAGTCCATCAGTGACGCCGCATACGAATGTTTCTGGTACGTTCTGAAGCCGAGCGAGTGTCGAACCTTGATGATCCTGATGTTGAGATCGCAGAAACGGTTGACCATCACCGCGGGTAAGATGACCGATTTGTCCTTGGAAGGTTTCACGACCGTAAGTTCATATAACGATGTCGAAATTTTTCACTGATCTAGAAATCAAATGTTTAATTATTTCAGATCATGAAATCATCCGCGTCATACATATCTGTGTTGTGCGCACTATATTGAAAGAGATTATGGAAAGGATTGCATTTGACAAGCTCCTCTAGAAAAATTTATCTCAGCACTAATTTGAATCTCTACGGCGAAAACAAGAGGGTATTTTGTGAAAATAATTATAATTTATATGTAGAAGGCATTATCTTTTAAAAGAATAAACTTCTACATATAATACGGCAGGGATAGCTTTAGTTTTATTCTGTTGAACGGAATATTATAACACATGTACATATAAATATATATAAATATATATAAAATTTTATATTTTATCGTATATTTTGTGACAAACCTTTTTGAGTACAAGTTAAAACTTTGCCGTACATAAAATACCATTAATTAGCAAATGTACAAAACATTATCATTATTAGTAATAATCCAGTTTTTCCATTGAACGCTAATAAATGTTCTCTACATTTTTCTTCCATATTAAGCTTGCTTTTTATCCGCAGATATAATTTTTTTTCAAAAATGTAAGTTTTTTCCATTAGATATAGATATGTTATTAGAGGCGATCTTTAAATTATCTGAAAATTTCTAAGGTAATTTTGTACTATTAAATGCGCTATTTCAGAGAATAATGAAAGGTAATTACAGCGTTTGGTTTTTATTCGGGTATACTTATAATCTCTTAAAAACTAATGGCATTAAAATAATCGACGAAATAATTATAATCGATCGAAAGAAGACCTGCGCTTTATCGTCTACGGACGATTCTGCTCGCCATATCACTGAACAGAGTTTACTTTGTGAGGCTTTGAGACATCTCGGGAGCCATCAGTTTCTAGCCTTTGGTGACCGTCAAATTGCCGAGCAATGAAACGTACAAGCACCATCAGTCGTCCGGTCGAAATCGGCCTGCGTTTCATCGGCATGTGGCCGGATTCGACTTACGCGACTCTCTGTTGGATCATTTACATGGCAACAATGGTGATAGTGCAATATTACCAATACACGTACGTTTTTACGCATTTCGACTTGAATGACATTCCGCTCCTCATGGACTGTCTCGGTCTTACCTTGGCGTATACTCTCGCCTTCTTCAAGTTCCTCGTTCTATGGTTGAATCGCCGGTAAGACGCGTTTTTTTGCAGACATCTGACTCCAAATAAATTAAATGTTTTCTTCTAGAACAATAGAATATTATTATTAAACAGTTTCGACGAAATATATATGTATAAAAATTCAATTTTTTATTAATAATATTTTTCGAATAATAATTTATAATAATAATTTTATTAAATAAATATATTATATTTAATGATGTGTATAGCATTTAAATAAAGCATAATACATTTAAATATTCTTATATATATTTTTGTAAATTGTTTTCCACACGAAAAAGTTTTTTAATATATATGTATGTAATGTTTGATATATAAGCCGCTGCCTGCAGGAGATTTTATTTTATCCTGGCGGCGATGGATCGTGACGGGAGAGAGTGCGGAATCAATGATTCATATGCATCTACGATGATCAACGTGGCGGATCTGTCACGACGCTGTTCTAATGTAATGATCAGCATCAACGCTCTGGCTGCCTTTTTTCTTTCGATCGGCGAGCATCTACTTCAATCGATGAACGATGCCAATCGTGTTGACAATAATTCACGGGAACTTCCGATAAAGATGGAGTTTCCATTCGACGTCAGTGAATCGCCCATCTTCGAATGTTTCTTAGTCGGACAATTTCTCTACGAATTGGTGCTGGCTTCTATAGTGGGTATGGTGAATGCTTTACTTGTATCACTGGTAAGTTTCGAGACTCTGTAAAAAATATTTTTATTCGTGTTTTATAATTTATAATAATTAATTATCTTTTATAATTTTACCGCTTTTTACTGTGTCCAGTCATATGTTTGATGCAACTGTACCTAATTAATAATCGGAAAAATCTTATGTTTTGAATAACATTAATTTTTTCCATAGATACTTCACGTAAGTGGTCAGATTGATATTATGCGGCAAGACATAACTGAAATTTCCAACAACAAATACGATCCCAATACATCTTTAATCGTTATTAAAAATCTCATTTGCAAACATCAAAAGATTATTACTTTATCAGAAAATATCGAAAATTTATTTTCTTATATTGCTCTGATGCAACTTCTGTGGAACACTTTGGTTATCTGTTGCACTGGTTTTGTAATTATAATTGTAAGTAATGATTTTTGCAAATTTTCATTTTCTATAGGGAATAATTTTTTTCGCTTTATATTGCAGAGCATAAGTGCTAATGACAGTGCGACGACGCAAATCAAATCTGTGAGTTTTTATATGGCAATAACTCTAGAAGTTTTTATACTCTGCTTTGCGGGAGAATTTTTAAGCGCCAAGGTTTGTGAAGGTGTTTTTTGTATAAAAAAATGTGAATTTATTTGTCTTTTTTCTACCATGTTTTAAATTCAAAAAAATTAATTTTTGCCGAAAATAAAAAAATATAAAAATTCATATTTTGAACGACAAGAAATGTTTTCGAATTTGTCTTTATTGCGCCTTTAAATTGAACATTTTGTTTTAATCCTAGAGTAAGTCGATTAGCGATGCAGTGTACAATTCACTTTGGTACAATATGCCACCGTCCGAGGGTCGAATTTTATTATTCGTGATATTAAGATCGCAAAAACGATTAACGATCACTGCAGGAAAAGTAATTGACTTAACTTTGGAAGGATTTACAAGCGTAAGGCATATCATATTTACATATTTTTATTCTTTTAATATATATTGCATCAATTATATTTTATTTTATGCACATTTTTTTAGATTATGAAAGCATCAGCTTCTTATGTATCAGTATTAAATGCAATGTATTGACTTTGAGGATGATCGCTGACTATTACATTTATTATTGTCTCAGTTACAAGAATTTTATCATACAATCTTTATCGTTGAACAAATGAAATTATGCAAGTTATAAAATTATTTTAAAAGTATTAAATCTTTAATATAAATTTAATAATAATTATTCTTTATTTATAAATTAATTTATTACATTTATTGGAAAGATTCTTAAATGTTTTTTACCCCAATTTTTTATGCTTTTTTCCCAATGTATTTAATTTTTAACAAAAATGTTGCAGATCTAAAGAAGAAACTGTATGGGACAGCACACACCTTATAATAATTTTAAAGGTTTGTTTATCGTTATTTACTTGTTATTTTGCCTTTATTGAATATACGCTTATAAAGCTATTGTTCAAAGTTCTGTTGTACTATATATTCAAAAATTAATTTTTTCTTTCTTCATTAATATAAATATTTGACTATTATTCCAACTTTGTATAGAATATTAATTTTCGAATTTTTAAAATATTTATATTTACATAAAAGCTTTATTATTTAAAATATTTCTATTACTATTATCCATTTATTAATTTACCACAATTATTTATATTGCATATTTAAAGCAAACTATTTAATGTTGTTTTACTGCAGCTTTTTTAATTTTAATAACAAATTGAGAATATAAACATTTTCTATTGCGAATTACTCCAGTTTATTTTATAAAATAGTTTATTAAGATTTTTATACTCATTTTCTTTTATCGATTTAATATCTAATTGAAAATTGTTTATAAATTAATAAAGTTTATAAATTGATTTAAAACTTACATTTATCACAGTTTATATCACAATTTATTAATATAATATGCATCCGCTTTCCATCATAGCTTGGAAGACTTTCATTTTTATTTAAAATAAAAATGAGGAAATATGGACGAGTATGACTGGAAAGTGAAAAAATTGTCAAAATCGATCATGTAGCAAACATATTCAATGTCTGCGTTATAATATTTTGTTTTTATTTTTTGCCATCTTGTATTCACGTTTCGCAGAAATCAACATTTTTGCTTAAACATCGCGCACAAGTTTTTCTGATGGATGTAAGTGGACATGAAACTGTTTTTCAAGACAGAATATACAATTAAAAAACGCATTAAAACAATTACATGCTGTGCAATATTAAAACGCACTGACTCAGAACAAAAGCGAAATTAAATTTTTTCTTATTTCTTTTTTCTTATTCCTAGAGCTATAAAACTGCAGACAGAACTCTAATGCGATCAAGAATATAAAAGGTATAATTACGATTGATTACATTCAGAGTAGCTTGCGCTTTTATCGTTTTTACTAAGATTAGTGCTTTAGATGTCATATAGAACATATTGAGAGATATGCGCATAAGCGTATGTAATTATTTTTTCTTATTGCGAATCAATAGAGCTATAAAACTACAGACAAAGATCTAATGCGCGATGAAGAAAATATAAGGTATAATTACGATTGATTACATTATTGTCAGAGTTGCGCTTTATCGTTTTTATTAAGATTATTCAGTGTTTTAGCCATCATGCAGAACATATTGAAAGGTATACATGCGTACTTTATGCGCACTGCATTCGAATTTTTATTCTTCGTGGATTTGTTTGCGATCAGTGTTTAACAAAGAATGATGAAACGTGCAAACACCATCAGTCGCTCGGTCGAGATCGGTCTCCGTTTAATCGGTTTGTGGCCGGATTCGGCTTACGCGACTTTTTATTGGTTCAGTTACATGTTGTCGATAGTAATAGTGCAATATTGTCAATACGCGTATGTGCTTGACCATCTTGAAATAAATGATCTTGTTCTTCTCATGGATTGCCTTAGTCTCACTCTGGCATATACTCTCGCCTTTTTCAAACTTTTTATTTTATGGTGGAATCGCCGGTAAGATGTGTTCTATAAAAGTGATATGTAGATTATAATTAAAAAACGATTAAATTAAAATTATTATTAATATTAGTACACGAGACATAAATAAATATATATAAAAAGATTTTTTTTTAATAAAATTACAAATAGAAATTTTCTTCATGGCTTGTAACACATAGGAAAAATGTATTAATACATAAAACGTTAAATATACATTGCTATAGGATATTTTATCGTATTATAAAAGATATGAATAATGATTGGAAAGATTGCATTGTAAATGATTCGTATATATTCACGATGATGAACATGGCGGATCTATCACGACGTTTTTCCAACGTAGTCTTCACTATCTACGGTTCCGGTGCTTTTTTTCTTTCAATCGGCGAGCATCTACTTCAGTCATTAAGCGACGTCAATCGATTTGGCAATAGTACTCGAGAGCTCCCTTTGAAAATGAAATTTCCTTTCGAAGTCAGCGAGTCACCAATTTTCGAGTGTTTTTTAATTGGCCAGTTTATCTATGATCTGAGCATAGCTTTCGTGGTTGGTTTGATGAATGCATTACTTGTCACATTGGTATGTTTTTATGAAAATTAAAAATTGTAATATATTTCTGATATTTTCAATACTAAATGAATAGTAAGACATTTTCTTTATAATATTACTTTAGATACTATAAGTCATTTTATACTTCTAGGTACTTCATGTAAGCGGTCAAATTGATATTATGCGACAAAATTTAGCAGAAATTTCTAAAGGCAAATACGATCATAGCACATTTTTAATTATTATTAAAGACCTCATTAGTAAACATCAAAAGATCATTGCTTTATCGGAAAATATTGAAAATCTTTATAACCAAATTGCGTTAATGCAATTTCTATGGAATACAATAGTTATTTGTTGCACTGGTTTTTTGATTATAATTGTGAGTACCTTTGGTTGTTTTTTCACATTTTGCAAGATTATTTTTTACTTGTTTCACATTGTAGACCATTAATACCAACCAAGACATATCGACTTTGATCAAGTCTGTGAATTACTATATTGCAATAACTCTAGAAGCATTTATATTTTGCTTTGCTGGAGAATTTTTGAGTTCTAAGGTATGTAAAAGAGCTTTTACTTTATTCTTTTCTATTTACGTTATTTACTTTATTGCGATTAACAATGTGCTATATTTTATTTATACGTATTAAAGTTAATTTTATCGTTAAAATAAAGAATTTTGGACAAAAAATGCTTCTTGTCTGAATAATAAGTAAAGTAACAATAATTTTTGATTTTTTTCTTATTATTATACATGTTTGAAATGATTTATTCTGCTTTCAGAGTAAATCGATTGGCGATGCAATATACGAATCACTTTGGTACAATATGACAGCAAATGACAGTCGTATTTTATTGTTCATGATGTTAAGATGTCAAAAGCGGTTAACGATCACTGCAGGAAAAGTCATTGACTTAACGTTGGATGAATTCGCATATGTAATGCATTACATTCTATAAATACATTTCTTCATTTTTTAATATATGCCTCATTAATTACATGAAATTTTTTTTAGATGATGAAAGCATCAGCTTCTTATGTATCAGTATTAAATGCGATGTATTAACTTTAAAGCAATATTGCTATGTTTGCATATTGACTTAGCTGCGATAGTTTAACGAGTAATTTGTATTTTGCTATAAAATATGAAGTTTTTTTGCCTCAGTTTTTTGTGTTTCTATTTTCAATGTACTGATAATATCTCTTAAGAAGATGCACAAGCGTATAATTTATTTTAACTTGAAAGGTACGTCTGCATTTATTAAATACATGTTTATGAATCTTCTCAAAGTTTCAGATGTTGCATCTTAATTTTTCATTAATGATTTCTTCTTTTTTATTAATATTTGTGTTATTATTTCAACAAATATATGCATATATATAATTGCATGCTGATTTTTGTTTTCAAATATAGTCTTTATATTTACTGTAAATATTTAAACTATATATATATATATATTTATAATAAATATAATTTATTATGACAATTATTCGCGTTTAAAACAGATTCTTGCTATTGTTGATTATTGCTTTGAATCTTTGTAACAAAAATCGAGATTGATATGAGAAAATATCAGTTTTTTTGCAAATATAAGTGTCATTTTATAAAGAGAGCTATTCATTTTTCTATCGATTTTTTTGTCGACTGTGTGTGTGTGTGTGTGTGTGTGTGTGTGTGTGTGTGTGTGTGTGTGTGTGAACATATGTTTAAAAATCGACAACAAAACTAACAGTTTGTATAATTCAAAACAATTTACATTTTACACAGCTTCACGCAGCTCAATGGCACGAAAGAATATGTTGGTCCGCTTTCGCGTAATATCCTATACTGAAGCTTTTGTTTTTTATTGAAAAGGAAGTGAGAATACACATGAGCGAGAGAATGTGAATAAAAGGTAAGAGAAACTGGCGGGATCGATTGTACGTATTATCAACGTATATTCAGTGTCCAGTAATAATAAATATTTTTCGCTTTTTGTTTACCTTGAATTTATTATTTTAAATGTCAATACTTATTAAGACTTTTTTAAAGAAACTTATTGAATGAAATGTAAAATTGCCTTTTAAGAAACAGAAATGTACCATATATTTTAAAGCAATTACATATTATTTTAATAATAGTATTATATTATTAATTATAATAATAAAATGTCGACTGATTCAAAGACAAACAAAATAATTGCATTTTCTTTTTTAATTGAGTTATATAAGCTGCTTGCTATACCATATATTAGTGTTAGTTTGGTATAACCTGTTAGAATAATCGCTATTTGCAGACTGAAAAAAAAATATATATATATCAGATGTAAGTAGCTAAATCGAAAATTGAATCTGAGAATAAGTTGTTCGTTTTCTAGATAACTTTTCTTACTGTTGAACTATTTTAATTCCATATCTTATGCTACTTTTAACACAGTGTGAGTCAGAGTGATGCTGGAATCTCGCTTAATGGATGCAGTACTACAGAGAATGCAATGCCCGATACGTTGTCACCATTTTATTATATATTCCGAAAATGATGGATCAAAATAGGAAAGAATGCATTGTCAATAATTTATATCTGCCTACGATGGCAAGCATGGTGGATCTCTATTGAATTAGTGCTACGTTATATTTCTTTTTTTTTAATCGGAGAGCATCTGCTTTAGTCATTCGATGATGTCAATTGAATTGGCAATAGTTTTCAAAAGCATAAAGATGAAATTTTCTCGCAAAGTCATCAAATCATCGATTTTTGAATATTTTTTAAATTCCTTTACGATTTGATGATAGTTGTCTGTGATTAGGTTGCTAAACGTGTTGCTTATCACATTGATAAGTGAATTAATAATTGTTCAAAGAGGGCTTAAATAATTATAATTATATTTTATTACGGGGAACATGAGTTATAAGATATTAAATTTAAGTAGAAATTATCTTTGTAGTATTCTTTGAATAATTTTGCTGAATTCGAGTATTCTGAAATTTTTCTTTTCCAATTGCATAAAGTAAAAAAAAACGTAAATAAGTGAGTAAAAAATAATAACAAAATTGCTTGCATCTTAAATATCAGTATTTTAAGTTTTTTTGGTTTATATTATAATTGCAAAAATATAATATTAACCTTTTCTACGTATAAAATTTATATATAATAATTTTTATTTATTAAATAGTTTATATATATACATATATATACATATATAAACTATTTAATAAATAACACAATTATTATATAAATTTTTATACGTAGAAAAGGTTAATATTATATTTTTGCAATTATAATATAAACCAAAAACTTAAAATACTGATATTTAAAATGCAACAATTTTATTATTTTTTACTCACTTATTTACGTTTTCTTGTGTATAAAATTTAAATTTTAGTCAAAAATCTGTATTTTTCAAGTTAATTACATTTCTCTCTTTCCTTCTGTATTAGGTATATTAAATTATTCACTAGCTTATAAGCGGACATAATTCCCTTATGATTGTTTTCTTTTTTAATTGGTATATCTATAGAAACTTTCGAGCACTAACGCGATTAGAATACTCGATTACAATTGGTATAATTACTCAATATAATTACGATTGATCATCGCGTAAAATAGCCTACGCTTTGTTATCTACGATTATCCAGCGCTTCTATCATCCTATCATAAACGCATATTGAACGACGTTTATGTATGCTTTTCACCTATGCGATATATCGACTATACGATCATATCACTGTGTGAAAAGCATATATGGACATTGTTCAATATGCTTTTCAATAGTTCTCGAAAAGCGACAAAATGTGTGAGTATCGTTTGATTGTATCGCAGTCTGTGTTTCATTGGCATGTGACCGGATTCGCTTACCCAAATTTCGGTTGATCCTGTACTTGTATATGTTGTTGCATATTCTGTTCTGAATAATCTTTTGTTCATAAAGGTTGAATTCTTGTTTCAGTGTTCTATTGCAGAATTATTGATAAGCTTTCTCCAACTATAATATGACTGGAAAGAATGATAAAATAAAAGAGATCATTGTTATAAATGTATGCCAAGAGAAAATGAAATTCTTATTCAATTGTAATATACATATAACTGGAAAATAATATAAAGAAAGAACACTGTTATAAATATATAACTAGAGAGAATTAAATTCTCTTATTATATAAAATCTAGATAAAATTTTAAAAAATAATAAAAAAATTTTAATTGAAATATCGGACAACGCATGTTATTGAGAAATTTCTTGAGGCATTAACAAATGAAATTTTATGTGTGGAATTAATGGTGATCGATGAAAATAACATTTATTATAATTATATTTTTTATAATTATATATTAAATATATTTTTCTAGTTAAAAATTTATATGTTGTGCACGGGATATTCTATAATATCCTAATCGCAATCAATAGAAATTGAACCGTGTGCATTATCTTACTGATATCATGACGATGAGACAGATCTGTTACGTGATTGTTCCAATCTGTTTTTTTCGATATTTCTAGTTAATTTTTTCTTGTTTTTAGTCACAGCGCTTACTTGTATTTTATTTGATGAACAATTCTGACAGTGAAGTTATTCCATGCTAAAAAAGATGTCATTCGCAATATCAACGAATTACTAGAAAAATGTAATTTGTATTCGGTAAGTACATAATAAAATTCATTATAAATCTTAAAACTTCTTTCTATGGTTTTCGATATAAAACATTGAGTTTAATTTTTATTTTATCAATTAATAATGTAGTTTTTTTTATTTAGCGCTTTAAATCATTCACCTATTAAATTACTATATGTAATAATAATTGTTAACAGATGATGTATGATATAATGTATGAAAGAGTCAACGAACGCTTGATTTAATAATACAATTTGGGTAATAGCAACATATAATCATTGTTTTACAAAATATATTATTATTGCAATATTTATATATATATTTTGAACTCGAGTTATATGTTTCTTTTAGAATAAATTGATTAATCAAATCGAACTAATTTGATTAATTTAGATAACAATATACAAATCAATTCACACACACTATGGTATCATCTATAATAGTCTTTTTATTTTCAATTTTATTTCAGTTTATATTGGTGAGAGTTATTGGCGATTGGAAATTGGTTTCAAAAATGATTAACAATTATTGTCGGGAAAACTCACTTTAGAAAAATGTATAAACATGAGATATCACAGCAAATATATTTCTTAATTGTTCAAGTCCTTTTTATGAATTTATTTTTTATATCATGAAAGTGTTTGCCTCCTATGTGTTTGTATCGCATGCGATACATACTAAATTGAAAAGCATTATATTTTATGAAATATTTCGCGCTTGGGTGTGATAAATAATTCACTCAAACATTTTGATACTTATTACAAATGCGAAAATGGAGAAAAATACACATGTATATATATATTAAAATTTTTTATTTATATGTAACATGCCAAATGCACCTTTATTATCTTTATACTTGAAGCGCAGCTTTAGTCTTCTCTTTTTATGATATTTTTCATTTTCTACGTCGACATATACTAAACATCTGACTATTATTCTTTGTATGTTATTTGTATAATTTATGGCTTAGCAAGATACAATTTTCAGATCTATCAAGCTTAGACCTTTCTATCTTTTTTAACGTCATTTTTAAACTAAATTTATTAATAATGATAATTACATGTGTATGTTCTTTTGAAGACAATTATTCATGTAATACACGTTTATTTTTTTTTTTGCATGCAAAAACCCATAATCATTGCAATTTGTAATCTATTATCGCAATTTTGCTTATCGTCGTACAGTTTATATTGCGTGTTGCATAATTGCGATTGATCGCTACCCGCACTCTCCTACCTCGGTGGTAGTTTTAGTTGGTGAAATTACTATATCTGCGATGAGAAGAGGGGTGCGCATTACGAAGTTAGACTGACAATAAGAGATTCGATCGCGCATTTGTTTTGAAAAATCGAGTCGCTTCTCGTCGCTCCACCTCATCGGGAAAAAACAGTAATGTGCACGGTCGATCGGAGTGATGGTTCAATGCAACGTTACGCGCAGCTATGATGTTGACGAGTACCGTAAGCCCGTTACTGAAGATCGGTCTCAGTGTGATTGGGTTGTGGCCCGGTTCCTCGAACGGGACGTTCTACTGGCTCTTTTACATGACGACCCTCATAATAATGCAGTACTTTCAATACTCGTACGTCTATGAGCATCTAGACTTCAACAATCTGACCAAACTGATGGACGGTCTGGGT